GCCAGCGTCAGTAATTAATTGAATATTTCCTTCTATACTTTTTAGCACGTAGCTATTTATTATTAGCATTATTCTTCCGACGTCTGATTTCTTTTTAATTATAGGAAATGCGTTTTTCTAAGGTACATAAACTTTTGGGACTGTATAGCCAATACATCCTTAAATAAATGACTTCAATTAGAAGCGATTGATCAATCCGTTTGAGGAAATCTCGCGTACTCGCGTCGTTTCGCGTCCATCAATATTTTCCTTAACGTGTAGTCGCAATCTCAAGGATGCTTTGACTTGCTATGTACATATTTGTGAGTATAAGCAGTGGCTGCGGTACCGCGGCCAAGGTTTCTCTCAAGTACTTTGTTTATCTCGTTGTTTCACCTATTCCAAATTCAGGGAAAAACAGAAAACAGTAGGAAAGTGCATAGACTTAATGAAAATAGAATAAATACAGTTAGACAGTCAGAATTCTATCTGAATTTTGAAACTGTCCTCAAATTTCTGATACGTTTCTAAATTGAGGCCGTGTGCTTTAGGTGTTTAGCTACGTAGGATCGAGCCAATTCGCTCGTAATAACGGAAGCTACCTCGGGTCCGACGTCAGTTAATCGGATGTCGTCTGAAACACGTCGATGAAAACAGCCGCTGTCCTTGTTTGCTCAACACGTATATGCAATTCGCTCGGAGGATCCTCGCCACGAACTAATTAACCGCAGCTCTGTTTTCCTATCTCGCGTCACTCCTCAGTTTTATAGATGATCAACCAGGTTTCGATTTTAAGAGCATGTTACATCGTAGCAAATGCTCGGCGATTTGTCTTCTTTAATTGGCTGGGAGACATAATTAATTGCAGGAGGGTCATATATACCATACCTCGCAATTAGCGTACGATGTTACCCGGAATCATTATGGATTGTAAGAATGTTCGCTCGATTAGGATGCCTCCTTGTCTTGTGTAATTACTTCGTAATTGATTATCTACTTTCATTTGAAGTTGAATTTTACTGAAATGCTGAAATGGTTTATTGCATAGAGTCTTTTTATACGCGTGTGATTATATGATTTTCTATCAGACTTATTGATAGAGAATGCTTCGTGATATTTTATATGCATGATTTATTGCACGATAACAACGATATGATTTTATATCATATTTTGATAGACAACAAACACGTGGGAAGTATCCTAAGACCATAGTCCTCTCTCCGGCGCCAGGAACAATTAACTTCACCTGTAGAGGGTGGAACGTTAGCCAGAAATTGAATTATGCTATCTGTAGAACAAGTTAATTGCATTATTCGTAGACGAAGTGGCACCGCGGCTTACGTAAATGCACCGGCACGCCTTCGAACTCGTTCGTTCCCTTTAGCGTCGCCTGTCGCATCGACGCCTCGGTCCCTCTCTCCCTATTTCCAGCTGAAATTGAAATTTATTCAGCCGAGACAACGGAGACCTTGCTCTTTGGTATTCGGCCGTCGTGACGGCGACAATGAAGTCGCCCGATCAGGAATACCCGTTATATTTTTCGAAAGTGTACCACGCGCGTCGAATACGGATGGAGGATATAAAATATGAAACGAATGATTCGTCAATTTTTTCTTCTTCGAAAATTATCGAGGCTCTTTGTCCTCTTTCTATTTTCGTTTTATCTTCGGTGAACGACGAGTTTCCCAATTTACGTTTCATCGAGGACAGATTGCGCGTCGACGCGAAATAGAAGAAACGGAAAACGCGAACATGTTTGACAAGTTTATAACGCGCGCAGCCGTCCGTTCGATGGGAAATATGGATGGTTTTTTTCCGTTGTCCGGTGAAAAATAAGTGAATCGATCACACCGCGTCTCTAACAGGGATAGGATCCCTGTTTTTCGACAGCAGCATCGATCGTTTCTGTAATTTCCAACCTCCTGCCTCTTTTCCCGTAATTTTACGTGATTTCAATGGTCGATTTTTTCTTTCTCTACCTCCTCGACGATTCGATGCCTAAGAAGCATATACGCAACACGGTTCTCGGCCATTTTTCGGTGTAATTCGGTTACCGAGAAAAGAGGAACGTTTTGCCGGTTCCATTAAGCCGGAGGCCGACATTAGGAGGATAGGGGGTAGGGGCAAGAAAATCGATTACGGGGCTTCGCGACGCGCGTCGGGCTCTGAAAGCTTTGTGCCTTGTACGATAAATCCTCCTCGCGGAGCAGATATTGCGTTATCTTCCCTTTCTGACCGGAAGTAGCTTCCACTTTTAAATTCCGTCCTCTCAGCACGCGATGTATCGCGCTCCCCCAGCGAAATTGTCGAACGTTACTCACCGGAATCGCCTCGAATTTAACGCGCTATTACCGATTGGCCCCGATCGAACGTTCTGCATGAACGTCGTCGCTATTTTCCGGGATAAACGTATGGGACGTCTCTTACGTTAATAACGTTATTATCGTGCAATCTACGAGATAGCGTTTTAACATTTCTACCCTCTAATTAACTATTCTCTTTTGTGATATATGTATTATAATATGTTCCTTTCAACGAGATTATCTTCTTAAACGGGAGAAACGAAAAGAGATTTGTAATGAATTTCACTTTTGGGATGTAATTTTGATTCATGTTCATCCGTATAATATAAAAATGAAGAGTAAAGCAATTAATATGTAATCAACATATGAACAGGCTATTATTTTTTGGGCAATCAACAGATTTTTAATTCTATCAATAGCATGAATGTATCGACTGTACATTCATTTATTTTAAATTCCTCTGATTGTACAAAAATTTTTGTTGTGGAGGAAAGGGATGACGACTCCTGATTTTATATGTATACCCATTCCCAGGATTGATTATCTGGTCAATGATCGTGAAACAAGAATGTCAACATTTGTTTTTATTCATTTATTAATCAGGGATTTACTTCTTTTTACAATACATTACTGTACTTGAATTTGGGACGGATAACACAGATCATATGTACATACGTTCACATAAATACTTAATAATGTAAAATATTTTATTTCCTGTATGTAATTGCTTAAATTTGTTTAAAAAATTATAGTTTCATTTTACAAACTACAGTAATATATGTTAAACTAAGGTTTCGGAAATTCTTAGTTTGCACTGCGTGTCGCGTTTCTACATGCAGGTACATGATATCTAGCGGCTTCGTTTAGAATGAAACGTCATTCGGTTTAGCCCTGGAATAGAATTGTTTGCGACTTCTAAATCATGTCTATGTATCGCGATTGGATTGCCTTGATACTCATTTACCTTCCTATCCAATGGCCTCTGTTACTGGTCTCCTGCCGGAAGTCCTGTCACATAGTCAGTTTTTAAAGGACGTTTTATAAATAGTGAAATCCACATTGCGACCTTTCTCCGTCTTTCCGTAATTGATGAATATTCTCATTCCTCCTTCAATCTCTTAATCGATCGGTTACTATAAAAAAATTTTGTGTGACATAATATAAATGACGATGTACATTTTTTTACTTGTAATAACGAGTACGTCTATGAAGAAAAGTCTGACCATCGTTTACGTTTCTTAACCCAACTCACGAGCCGTTTCTCATCGCTGCGGTGATTTCTTGAGCAATTTACATTAACACAATACACCTTTTACATAACCGACCGCAGCTACCGACACATAAATACAATACGCTCTTTGCATGCGTACAATGCTGAGCTGTTTATATAAGCGTAATAGAACACGGCTCTCATACGTTCTGTACGCGACTCATTAAAATTATAATCTTCATTAAAGTATAAAAATATCTATAATCTGGCTTTTCATTGTTCTTCCGCATCTTTTTAAATTATTAAACACAAGAACTCAAAAATAAAATTTGACACCAAAATGACTGCAGAGTTTACGAATTCATGTGATTATTAAAAATACATACAATATAAAATATTAGACTATATAAATACAAAATATTATACTTAAACGATTCGAATTACACATTCCGTTATGATACTGTAAATATTTTAAAGTCCGTCGGTTTTATTCATGATTGACTCTGTAAATGTTAGTTGGACAAACTCTTGGAAGGGCGAAAATTTCTGAAAGAACGGGCTATTGATCGGCAAGATATAGGGTAACAGGGTGATTCGCGGTTGTGTAGCTATCAACGAAGCAATTTCACCGATCGGATTACGGCGTTGCGTCCGTCGGTGTAAACGCGACCGGTTGTGTCAGCGTTTCAAGGAACGTGACGAGGGATCGCAAGCAGCCTCTGGATTAAGTAATCCACCATACGTACAGCCTTAAGTACGCGTTGGTAGAAACAAGAGGGAAAGTATCGGAAAGAAACAACCCTGAGAACTTTGTGAATATCAATGATATCGAAGTTTCTTCGTATGTTACGTAAGGCGATTGGCAGAAAGTTTATAGAATCGTGTTATTAATTGACGCATAATGAATTTTTCGCAAATGAAAGTTTCGCAAAAACAGTGGGAATAAACTCCGGCTACTCTTAGAGAAATCGAATCCCGAAATCCTTGGAAACATGGGGAAGCTATTTAAACGTATTATCTGTACTCGTAAGGTATTCTACGGATATGGTTTATTGGTATTACTTGGAATACGTAAAGGGCTTCTTTGGACGTGTGCCACGCGGCGTTTAGGTGACTCTCGGGCAAAGGCAATCGGGAGCCGTGCCATTTTCATTTGTAGCGTCGCGTCAGAATTTTCGCGTTCACGTAGGATACTGCTCCCTGTTTTGGCAGGGCGAATGAAAAACAGGAAGCGTAAATACCCCGGAGGTGGTCTCGTTACGGATAAAACGAGAATGTTCGTTAAATTCTACCGTGCACGCGGTAAGATAGTGAAAATACGCGGAATTCTAGTTTCACCCCGGGGACGATAATTATACTAATTCCTGCCGGAAGAATTCGTGCGTGCATTTCACGTTAAGCTGCGTGTTCGCGGGTAAGTGCCACGGCTCTCTCGTTATACCTCTGTGCTCTCTTGCCGCCCTGCTGTCGCGTAAACCAGCGCGATTATATTTCGCTCTTGTGTACACGTTCGTGCAGACGAGGTACACGTCAGTCAACATTGTAATCGTGACAGTATGGCATTAATTGTTATCTGATGCAGTTTCTCATTTGCATTGTACAGAATGAATCTCGTATATTGTCAAATCTGAAGTAATTTGTCGTTTAATTGCTGTCCTTATAGATTGTACAAAGTGAACTTCACATCTTGTAAAATTTTCTCATCTCATCTATATACATGTGCGAAGCTCAAAGATTTATTTATGGTAAATATGCATATGGAGTTTATTCCTTGGCCTCGATGCTCTAGCATCCTCTTTGATTTGAAGTTCGCGCACGAGTGCACCTACGCACTGGTTCGTTTACCACGATCTCTCGAATCTAGCAACTTTACTTAGGTCCCTACGCAAGGAGACAACCCTTCCAGCTCTCACTTTGTTATCTCTGCCCTCGTTTTCTTACCGAGAGTGCGTCTCCGATCAGTTTACGGGGAGGTAGCTAGCTACTAACACCGCTGGGAACCGTTCTGAATGCGAAATTATGGATAACGCGTTTATCCCGAAGAACCGTGGCTCTGCGTCTATCTGTTATATCATACGGGATGGGAAAAATATTCGGTGGAAAATGTGGAGCCGCCTCCGGTATCCTACCCTATCTAACGACGTGCTGGCATAGTGACAATGCTGGCTTACTACCGAGCCAGAGACTTTGTTCAAGATTCTGTATCTTGGAAAGTGATTCTCCTACGATGATAATAATCGCTGTCGATGCTTCGTGTTTTATGGCAGTTACTTCGATAACAATCTTATCAGTAGGCTGTGAGGACATTTATGATAAGCGATTAAGAAAATGCGTTCACTCTTCACATTTTATGTAGTTTCATAGATTTTTACTTTCTGTGCACTAAAGTCTTTTATAAATGTGTAGTCTACTTATCAGTAGATTTCCACGCGGATTGCTTTTCATGTGTCTTTGAATAACGCTCACAGCTTTTCTTGGTACGAGTCAGGGCTTAAGTCGGTCTAATTTAAATGAATCTGTAATAAAGTCTGTTGGTTATTCTTAGGAAGATTTATGTTTCCCGCCTTGCGATTTATTTCTCCTCTGTTTTCGCTCGCATTTATTTCGGAACTGATAACGTAAACGGGTGCCACGTAGAACAGCAAGTTTTAAATAACATTTAATGTAACCAGAAGAAAAATATTAATGTTAGGTTTCCGTATACAGAAATATCTCCCATTCATTTACAGAATTGTAACGAGCGATTCGTATTGCATCGAAGTGAACGCAATCTGAATCCATTCACCTGAATCCTGTTCGATAACTTTGATAAAACTCTGATTCCGTTATTCAATAAACTGGCAGAAAGTATCGGCTGGGAACAATCGAAGAGATAAACATTATTTCGTGGAAAGTTTTATCGAAACTGGTCCGATATTAATTTCCTCCCCGATTCTTCGATTTTAATAAAGAGCGCCGCCGCGTTCACGCATCGTCGATCTCATCCAAACGGTGTCGTCATCGTGAATTTAATCGGAACTTAGTTTTCCGCCTCGACAAAGAGTTTCCAGATGGCAAATCGAACTCGGAAAACTTTTCCCACGGGTACTACCACGGCTGCTGTCTCTGTCTGCTGGCCCCTCCTAGTCCCTTATCATGATCGTATCGCGACGAGAATCTCCGTCGATCCTAGAATTTACGCCGCGCACAGCGATCGATTCGTTGGAACGCATGCGATATTTCATGCTTTACGGCGAATGGATGGGACGCGAGGAAGATGGAACGCGTCGCCAGCCCATGAAACTTTTATTCCCGCGGCTATTTCTCATTCGAAGGGTGACCCGTTTTGAACCTAAATGGATATATTACTGAGACACGTTGCATTCAGAGAAAAAGGTCGAATGACAATGGAATTGACCAAGAAATTGGCACCGTAATACCAGAGTGATTGCCAATAAAAGACGAATCCGAATTTTACTGTGATTAGACAATACTCGATATTTGATATTAATTCTTTGAAATATATATTTTATGAAGGCGATGCTATTCGCAAGACTTTCTTAGTATTTCATTCCTGGCGCTATATTCAGCGATAAAAAATGCCATTACGGCATAATAACGAGCGATGAATCACCGGCTCTGCGCCGTTAGCGTACGCTAAGCCGAGGAGGCACCGATAGCGAGCGAGAAAATAGATAAGGGAACAAGAAAGGAAAGGGTTTCCTCTTTCTTCCGCGAAAAAGCATCCAGACGCTGTGAATCGCATTTCCCGGATTCTTCTTGTACTTCCGGTAACGAAAACGATCGAGCGTCGATCGAACCTTGGTACGTTTGTTTCCCTGAATCGTTTATGAAGGCAGTTTGGGAATTCTTGGGCAAATGCTCCCGGACAAATGTTTGTGGAGAACTCGAAGTTGTACATGTGTATCGAAACAGGAGGGAAACCGACGTTATAGTTGCCGGGGTTAATCCCAGAGCCCCGGCTTAACCTGAAAACTTGTACTTACTTAATCCCCGGGTACATGAATTCTTGACCTCGATAGAATAGCTCGCCGGTTTCCACTTTAATCGCGGCTCATCAGATACTGCTGGAAGCTCGCCGTTTTGCCGAAATTAACGGTCTACCGTGTCGCGGACTTGAATCTGTTTTCCGATACGACGGACGCAGAGGAAAAGAAAGACTTGCCGGGGGAAGATCATCGGCGAGGAAAAAAGGCGTAACGAGTTTCGATTAGCGGTTAGTTCGCAACGAGTTTTCTATTACGCGACGCGAGATTTCGGAAACATTTACATTTTATCTGACCGGCACTGGTACCCGCAGCGTTGTTAACCCTCTTCTTTTCCTTCCCTTTTCGGGATCGTGCTCGCGGAAAATTTCACGAGCACTCGAGGTTTTTCATGAATTTCCAGCCGGTTCCTTTTTGCAGGGCCGAGCTTTTCTTTGTCGCATGCCTTGAAAATTCTAGGAGGAGCGTGCAGAGAAAGAGAGAGAGAGGGAGACTGGCCTTGATGAGAAGCCTTTCCAGCCTCGTTTACGGCAGAGCCGTAAAAACTACAAGCCCGCAAAACCGGAGAGAAATAAACGCTTTCTCACTCTCTCTCTCTCTCCCCCCCTCGTTCTCTACACGCGTTTTCTCTCCCTCTGTTTTCTCGGTTACGTCGAGCTTTTACCGATGAAAAACATAGCAATAACGCGACATTTTATCGAAGCTCGACCAAGTGGAATGTTCAACCGTTCCACTTTATACCGTTATTATTTGCAATTAATCTCGTCGTTAATTCAATTGTTGCGCAACGATAACGCGCCTCGTTTCCGATTATCCGATTATTCGCCGCGGTAATACGTTTTTCGACCAAAATCCGGAGCTTCAACGATATTGGGAAAAAAATTCCAATTTTTCTCGAATGCTTTCAGTTAACTTTGTATCAGGTCCGTGGATATGAAATCTCGTTTTCCTTGTTTCCGAAGTAGAAAATTTGTCATGTTCCGTTTGACTCTTCAGTACGGAAAATAATATCGAAGATGAAATAATTTGGTGTGTAGTAGATGTACGAATGCACAAATATTAGAGTTTATTATTTTTCATATATTTAGGGACTGATAAATTATTGGAATTAAATGTATCG